CAGTCTACGTCAAGTGCAAGTTGACCTTGCTTTACAAGGAAGTGCTTATGGCTGCCTCCTACCTTGAGGGGAGTGCAGCAAGATGGTTAAGCGGGCTAGTGCAACTTCAGGGGTACGGTCATGACTTTCGCGCTTGGGCAATCAACCAGAAGCTAGAGGACTTCCTTAAGCTGGCGGAGGAAAGGTGGCATGATCCTCAAGAGGCCCAAAAGGCCACTGACGCGATCCTGACTCTGAGCAATAGACCGTTCAAGTCAGTTAGGGATGCCATAGACGCGGTAGAGCGTCTGATCTGTGTTCGTGGAGTTCGTTACGACCCCCAGGTCTTACTCACTGCTTATCTGAGGTGTCTTCCCATGCCCCTCAGAAATCAGTTGGCGGGTGAGGCAAACATCAATGTGCACAACTTTCCCTCGTTTAGCAAGAAGGCCCTAAACCTGGATGCAAAGATAGGGCATGGGCACCAACCCACTACGGATGGTAGGAAGAAAGCACTGCCTCCCAAATGGAAGGCGAAGGGTCGTATTATGTTCGTTGACAACGATGGTTCCACCATCGAGTTAGATGATGAGTTCCAGCAGGGAGTAGGTTCGGAGGCGGGCAGCGTAGAAGCTTCAGGGGGTGGAGCAGTCGCTGCCTCAGTACAAAAAGGCAAGACGACCAGTAGACGTCGTGGACGTTCCCGGTCTAGGAGTCAAGTTGACCCTAACGCTCCTCCATGGGAGAAAGCGGGTCTCACAGAGGACGTGTGGAGAGACCGGTACACCAGGCAGGTCTGTATTCGTGGTTTGTGGTCAATATGGCCATAACCAGTTCAAGTGTCGCAACAAGAAGGTGACTGAGAAGATCCCGCCTACAATGGGGCAGGCGTTGGATCCTCCGCTCCCGTAGGTAGCAATGTGGCCAGCAGTTTTGGCACTGCTCCGGGAAACATGTCGGGCGAGTAGGAATAGTAGCTGTTCCTACTAGGGTCGAGGTGGTGGACACACCCTCACCATCTCGAGAGATGGCCCAAGCTACCGACTCCATTACCGTCCCGCAAACACATTCGGACCCAGCGATCCTCTGTTTGTTGAATGTGTTCGAGTCCTTAGAGGAGCTAGAGGAGGAATGGTCTAGATCAGACCCGCTAGCTTCTTGGACAGCCATAGCCAAAGCCCCTAAGGGTGAGTTGTTCGTCGGCGAGGTAGTCATCGGCGGCCGCAAGGCCGGGGCTTTATTATGACACTTGCTCGACGTGGAATTTCATTAGTTGCGCGTGCGTTGAGAGGCTGCATTTACAGGGGCAAGTGCATCGCCTGAGTCGACCTGTGGAGTCAACCTATGCCAACAAACAGTGCATGGTAGTCAACGACTACCTTAGTGTCTTTTCCTGTACGCGGGAGGGGAACTGAGACATCGAGTCTCGTTCCTAGTAAGCGATGATCTCCCTATGGATATCTTGTTAGGTATGTACTATCTTTCGGTTGCTCAGCCCCAGTTTGACTGGGACCGAAAAGTGGTTAAACACACTTTGCCCAGTGGGAGGACCGCCATATTACGTAAGTTTAAGGCTAGTAGTCTGATCGAGTCCTATGGGTGCATGTGTGCGGCTGCGTTCTACAATTATTATAAGCAAAATCCGAAGGAGGGTATGTATCTAGTTTATGTCTCTACAGCAGGCGAGCCGGTGAAAATGCCGCCGGAGATAGAGGGAGTAGTCACTAAGTACCCTGATCTATTCGAAGAGCCGAAAGGGGTTGTTGAGAGGGAGGTCGTCCACACGATACAGATTATCCCAGGGTCTAGCATTCCAAAGGGTAGGATCTATCGGATGTCTCCAGGCGAGCGTGATGAGCTTCGTCGGCAGCTCAAGGAACTCGTAAAGAAGGGTTGGATCCGGCTGAGTGTCTCCCCTTACGGATCGCCAGTCTTATTCGTATCAAAGAAGAGGGGAACTTTAAGGATGTGCATTGACTATAGGGGCCTCAATGCCATCACTGTCAAGAACCGAGAGCCCCTACCGCGCATCGATGACTTGTTGGACCGAGTGCAAGGGTGCTGGTACTTCAGCAAGATAGATCTGAAGTCCGGGTACCATCAGATTGCAATATGGTCTGAGGATCAACACAAAACCGCTTTTCAGACCAGGTACGGTCTGTACGAGTTTGTAGTGATGCCTTTCGGTCTTTGCAATGCTCCTTGCACCTTTCAACACGCAATGAACCGGATCTTTCATGACTACCTGGACAAGTTTGTCATTGTGTACCTCGATGACATACTTATCTTTAGTAGGACTGTCGAGGAGCACGTTGGTCGCTTACGCAAAGTCCTTAGTCTCCTTCGATAACACAAGTTCAAGATTAGCGGCGAGCAGTGCGAGTTTGGCCGCACCCGTATCTTGTACTTGGGTGATAAGATTTCTACAGAGGGATTGAAGCCCGATGACGCGAAGGTGGCCAGCATTTGTGACTGGCCGTGGCCTCAGTCTGTGTCTGAGATGATGTCCTTCTTGGGGATGACCGCCTACTACCGCAACTTCGTCAAGAACTATAGTATAGTGGTCGCCCCTTTGACGGACCTGACCCGCCTTGGCACCCCATGGGAGTGGACAGACAGGTGTGAGGTTGCTTTCAGACACCTGAAGTATGCTTTGACACACCATGAGGTCTTGAAGCTTCCCGATCTTGACAAGCCGTTTATAGTCACCACGGATGCTAGCCAATATGGCATAGGCGTCGTGCTCGCGCAGCAAGAGGGGCTAAAGTTGAGGCCTGTCGAGTATATGTCCAAAAGATACCCTCTCAGAAGTTGGCTAAGTCCACCTATGAGAAGGAGCTCTATGCGATCTATAAAGCGCTAACCCATTGGAGGCATTACCTCCTTGGGCGATTTTTCTACGTCAGGACTGATCATCAGACCCTGAAGTGGATGAGAACCCAGCCTGTGCTCTCCGATGCGCTGAAACGCTGGATCGAAGTCATTGAGCAGTATGACTTCGAGCCCCAATACATCAAAGGTGAGTACAACAAAGTTGCTGATGCGCTGTCGCATAGGCTAGATTTCTCTGGTGCGCTGATCACTGAGTTTGGGCTTGCGGACGATATTACTCGCTCTTTGGTGGAAGCCTATCGCGAGGATCCGTTTATGGCTGAGATCATACGCAGACTTGAGGCGAAGGACAAGATGACTTCTGCTGAGTTTGAGTTGGTCAACGGCCTACTGTTCCTTGAGAAGGCTGGGAATAAACGTTTGTGTGTGCCTAACCGTGAGTCTTTGCGTAGTTTATTTTTAGGCGAGTGTCATGATGCCACAGGACATTTTGGGTATAAGAAAACTGCGGCCAATTTGCTGCAGCAGTTCTGGTGGCCCACGATGATGAGAGATGCCAAGCTGTACGTGGAGACTTGTCGAGTATGTCAGAGGGACAAGCCACGTACACAGGCCCCTCTTGGGCTTCTTAAGCCCCTTTCGATTTCGGAAAGGCCTGGTGAGAGCCTGTCCATGGACTTCATGGTGACATGGACACACTGGTCACCAGCAAGAGTGGAATGAGACACATTTTCGTCATTGTGGATAGATTTAGTAAGTACGCTAGATTAGTTGCGATGCCTGAAACTGCGAAGAATGGGCACGTCATTAAGATGTTCAAGGAGAACTGGGTCAGAGACTTTGGGCTACCGAAGTCTATTGTAAGTGACCGGGATGTCAGATTCAGGAGTGAGTTGTGGAAAGCTGCAGCTGCAGAACAAGGTACACAGCTGCAGATGACATCCCGGAACCACCCAGAGGCAAACGGGCAGGCAGAACAGCTGAACCGCGTTGTACAGCACCTGTTAAGGCACTACTTCAATCCCAACCAGGCGGACTGGGATGAGAAGCTTGCTCTCATCGCCAGCCTGTACAACAATGCTGTGCACAGCGCAACAGGGGTAAGTCCAAACAGTTTGCTACTGACATTCAAGCCTCGATTGCCTCTAGACTTTCTACTACCTGAGAATCAGCCGACCGCTGCACCTGGTACATTAGAATTTGCATATCGATATGAGCAGCTGATGCAGCACGCTGTAGAACAGATGCACAAGGCGCAGGCGGCAATGATAGAATCTGAGAACAAGCACCGCCACCCATCTACATTCCAGGTAGGGGACAGAGTCTGGGTCAAGTCCTCAGAACTGGGACGAGCACGGGATATCCCGCAAGCTCATGCCACACTACTTTGGACCCTGGGAGGTTCTAGATATTGTCGGGGATGATCCGGATGGGCCGTCATATGTAGTTCAGATCCCTGGTCACCTTTGTACTTACCCAGTCTTTCACGCCTCCAAGCTTGCACCTTCCAAAGAAACTGATCAGTTTCCCTCACGACGCTCAATGCTGCCCCCAACCATGGATGGAGAGGTCGACATCGATGACATCGTGGATCACAGGGAAATGCCAGTTCCAAGACCTACAGGCAGGGGTCGTCCTCCGAAACCGAAGCTGCAGTATCGCGTTCGGTTCAGACATCACACTGATCCTAAGGAGGATAGATGGTTTACACGGGAGGAACTGATGCAGACCGCTCCACAGGTTGTCGCCCACTATGAGAAGTTGCTGCAGAAAGGAAAGCGCCAGATTGATTAAAAGGAACTTCTCAGAGGACTTTTGAAGTATGGAGGAGGGAATGCGAGGCACAAGGCCTCGGTATGCCCTACTGGGCCCTGTCATCTGTAAGGTCGGCTGCCCTAAGTGAAGGCAGGCCCGACCTAGGCCTATTTTGGACTACCACGCAACGGGAAAATTCAGGCAGTTGCCCAGCGCCAGTTGGTTGAGAGCGCCCAAGCCCAGGCTGACTTTCTCGTATGTAACTAAGGCAGGCCCTGGGCCAGATATGCAACATGGGCCGAACACAGGCTACGGGCAGTTGGGCACGGGTAACCACCACAGGCCCTGGGCCTGATGCGTTCGGACTGGGGCTCAGCCTCACGGGGCCTACCAGAAGCTTCTGGACCGAGGCCCAGTGCAGGCAGGCCGCACGCAGCAGGCAGGTCACTTCCATTTAGGAAAGTGCCTGCCCCAGCACTCCTCATTCCGGCACTGGCTGCATGCTGCTCTAACGCTGGCCAGCGCTCACACGCTCACGGGCGAGCTAGATGAGCAGGCAGCCATAGCCGAGATGCGCTGCTGTCTGCTAGATGAGGCGCATGGTGGTCCTTGGGTGCATGTGGCATCTGTGAGTGGGGGAGGTTGTGAATGATACGAGAGACATACCTGGTGCTTGAGGCGAACGGCATTGGCGGAGATCTGCTCGTACCTCGGGGAGCTGTTGACGTTACCAGCGGCATTGTAGATAGGCTAGATAGGATCTGCCATTTGTAGTCTGGGCGCAGAGCGCCAGATAGGAAGTCGACATTGGTTCTTTGTTGATGATGATGAGACTATTCCAACATTGTGACTTATGAGCTTTTGCTGTGCTCTTATTTGGTGGGACTCGTGTTGCAATTCTGCTTTTGGTTCGAGGTCACGACTATCTGGTCACATGTGTACAATGCTGCTTGGTTTTCTGAAGTTCGCTATCGCTCATTTTCCTTGCACATGGGACTCGAAACTATGCAGTGCGAGGAGCACGGGGTGATAATTACAGATGAAATGGCGGACGCCATGGTGCCTCCCCGGACTGAGAAAAAAGATGCACAATTGTCGAACACATCGATCTGGGAAGAGAATGCCAGCAACAGCGCAGAAAGAGGGGAACTTCTCCGAAGAATTGCCAAGGTCTGCAAGCGGCAAGGATCGTATCACTTAGCTTGCAAGAAATACACCCAGGCAGGTGACAAGATCAAGGCCATGAAGGTACTGCTCCGCACCACTAGCCATCGTGAGC